CCTTGAATGAATGCAAGATTATCGTCAGGATATAGTCTATGCGCCTTATAGATGTTCCCGCTGGATGCCGACACGAAGTATGGTCCCTTGGCAACATGCCCACTGATAGGACCAATTGCTGTTCCGCTCACATCCCCAAATATGCCGCCAGCTGCCATGAGAAGAGATATGTCCAAATCTGCGAGACAGGCGGCAAGAGACGAGGTATTGATTGCGGCTTGGCTGGATCCTATAGATCTCACGTAGAGGGTCCGCAGGAACGCCATCTGAAACACGTCATCTTGGCTTTCGTATTGCAAAGTCACATTCAAGAGCTCCGATGCCTCGAATTTGTCAGCGGACGTCTCAATAATTGTCATCGGAAAGAGATCATGCCCCGGCAGAGCCGCAGCGGCCAAGGTAGCCTTTCTGGTGCAGTTACTTCCAAGCTGACCAATTGGAATGCCACCAGCATAATACGGGATTCCGTGAAGGGTCACGACTGTGCCATTGTCCACTAAAGCAGCAGAGGCAAGGCAGGATGCGGCCACAACGAAGAATAAAGAAATCATCGTAGTTATACAATGCACCCCGCAAGTATTTGATTGGAGCTGCTTCTCTGGGGGCTGTAAACCATACACAGAGGGTTTTCATTCGTATACAATCTCGACATGGTTATATAGTTAAGCCTACACTCCGACTTTTCGGAGTTCTCCAACAGAAACAATAGAATTGACATACTGGCCCCATGGCAATGCCCTATCTCGGTGGGTTATCTTGGTAGTCAATGCACAAACTACATCGGCATGTGCCGGTTCAATTGATTAAGCTGTGTATATGTTTATTTTGCTGCATAAAATGTTTGTTACCTCAAGAAAGGATCGAGGCCTGCCTTAGTCTTGTCCGACTTCGCCTGACGTGCATGTGGACCCTTTGCTGCAACCGGCTGACAGGCTGACGCTTTGCTAAACTGGAATTAGGGGCTACTCACGCTAAGCGATTCGAGCTACTAGCCAGCACTCAACGATAAGCCTGTCGAGTAAGTCGCTGTTGCTGATCTCTGAACTCTGTCTTCTTATCTCTTGTATCCACCACAAGTACTTGAAGCTCGGCATGTTATAGCGCGATAAGCGTTCTGTGCTACTGTCTGTTTTGGACTGTTGTCTTCGCTAGCTAGTGGATCTCCTTCAATGCGCGTGGTTCAACAAGGTTCTACAGAACGCGTACGGATGGCTTCTATTTGTAATCGAAGAGCCAAGGTCTAGCTCATGAACATTTGTCAGTGCCAATTGCCCAATGCCGTGTCATCTAAGATGCGCTTTAGCGTTTGCCAGCGATCTTGTCATTTCATCCGTCGTATTTGCAATAGCGTGAAACACATGACTAGACTATGCTTAGGACTTTAAATCTTACATTTGCCATATCTCAATTGCAGCGGATTGGAAAGGTGCATTGGTGGTGACAGCCTCTCTATGCTGTTTTGTCAAGCTCGCCCAGCTGGCATGTGAAGAATGTTTGTTTCACGATTGACCAGAGCTACAGTAGCCGGGCATCGTGTAGGATTTAAGTGCAATAACCTATCGCCGATTTTAGCGGGATGCAAGCCAGGGGGCAGGGCTTACCTGTTGGGGATAACGGTGGTACGTCAGCAATGTCTTGACTCACAAGGTGAAGCCAGTGTTGAGATGCGCGACACGCTAAAAGGAGGCTCTCCGGATCTTAAGTCCAAAACCCGATTGCTAAATGGCGGAGTTTGGAGTGGATCTATCTCAACCTCATCTTCAATCGAAGCGTCATTGCTACCCTATCTTACCTCGAGCCTACCAGCCAACTCCCTGAAAAAACGGGTAGGTTAGGCGGCTTCAGCTAAAGACGGCCCGAGTGCCCAACGCCCGGATGAGACGCAAGTTGACTGCCAGGGTACGAGAGTCCCTTGCCTTAGTGCAATGCGAATCTCTGACCTGCCGTTTGTCTGTTGGGGAGGGATCCGATTTCTAATCAGAGAAGGTTTCTAAGCTGGGAGGGTCTGAAAAGTGGAGAGTGTCTTGACGGCATCGTGCGGCCCAGGCGCCGTCCCTATTGGTGGGGCCTTGAATGAATCAGAATGATTTTCACCGCTTACATTTACACAAACAATGTGCATACCTATGTAAATACCCTGGGAGTCTGCTTTCTTGATCATTTTTGAAATGTTACTGAAGCTTGCTCTTTTCTAATAGACAGCTGTCACGTCTCACTACTCGGCCCGCGGTCATTGACTTCCTTTCTACCAGGTTTTGCGCATTGCCTGAACTGTTGTAGACATTATGTCAGGGCCGATACCCGAGCGCCCAAGTGAGGCGCAAGCTGGTGAGTTTGCACCATTGCTTGTGCGCTGGTTCCCGTAGAATTGGTGTTGTCAAATTGAGTATTCGGAATGGCGCTGACGTGCGCTAAATAGCAGATGACAGCCCCGATGACTCTGGCGAAACAACACGAATTCCCAGTGCTGGTGACTCGTCTGTCGAGACTGACGATGGGACCTGGGGTGAACGGCACAATGGGGGCCCAGTCAGCCAGCGGATGGCAATGTCAGACTTTGAAGAGTTACAGCGCGAACTCACTCGACTAAGTCTAGCACGTTCTGCTTCACACAAAACCGATGGTCGAAGATCTGGCGTTTTCAAGACTGCATCGCGCAAGGAAACGAGGACAAGTAGGCCCCCGACTCATATTGACGACGAAAAAGATGTACACCTAGACGAAGACGAAGAGGAATTTCGACTCGAGCAATTCATGCGTGAAGGACATCTCGAAAGGCGGACTGAATCTGGCGAGTCAGCCAAGAAGCTCGGAGTAGTCTTTAAAAATGTCACCGTCAAGGGAGTCGATAGCGGCGCCAGCTTTGTTCGCACTCTCCCGGATGCGATCATTGGTACCTTCGGTCCAGACCTATACCACATTTTGTCTAATTGGATACCCGCATTGCGATTCGGTAAACAGCCCGATCTGAGAGACCTTATCCGTGACTTCACTGGAGTAGTCAGGCATGGTGAGATGTTACTTGTGCTTGGACGGCCGGGAAGTGGGTGCAGCACCTTTCTCAAAGTGATGGCAAATAACCGTAGCTCCTACGCTCATGTCGCTGGAGATGTAATTTACAGTGGCTTGTCCGCAGAGGAGGTCGAAAAAAGCTATCGCGGCGAAGTTGTTTACAACGAAGAAGATGATCAGCATCTTCCTAACCTGACTGTGTGGCAGACACTCAAGTTCTCACTCCTCAACAAAACAAAGAAATCTGTCCGCGGGGATATCGAGCTTATAATCGATGCCTTAATGAAGATGTTTGCAATATCCCATACGAAGGACACGCTGGTGGGAAATGAGTACGTCCGTGGTGTGTCAGGTGGTGAGCGGAAGCGGGTTAGTATCGCGGAGGCCCTGGCTACAAAAAGTACAGTGGTTTGCTGGGATAACTCTACACGTGGCCTTGATGCATCCACAGCACTCGACTTTGCAAAGTCCCTGCGCATCATGACGGATGTATCGGACAGGACGACGATCACTACTTTATACCAAGCTGGTGAAGGCATTTACCAACTTATGGACAAGGTGCTCGTGATCGATGAGGGTCGGATGCTATACCAAGGGCCAGCCAGCAAGGCAAGGCAGTACTTTGAAGACCTTGGGTTCTACGCTGCACCGCGGCAGACCACTGCTGATTTCCTAACGTCGGTTTGCGATGTCAACTCTCGCACCTTTCGGGAGGGGTTCGAAGATAGTTGCCCCAAAACGGCTCAAGAGCTTGAAAAGGCTTTTCGCGAGAGTGCCGATTATCAAGCAGTCCTTGCCGATGTACAGGACTTCGAAAATCATCTCCACCAAACAGGTCACGGTGACGCTCGTCAGTTTCAGCAATCAGTCAAGGATCAGAAATCTCGTACGGTTCAAAAACATTCCAATTACACAGTCAGCTTCTGGAAGCAAGTTCTTGCCTGCACAAGACGCGAGTTCTGGCTCATTTTGGGAGACAAGACTTCACTATACACGAAATTCTTCATTGTCATCAGCAATGGTTTTATTGTTGGATCACTATTCTACAATACTCCAAGCTCTACAGTAGGCGCATTCTTATTGGGTGGCGTTGTATTCTTTTCGATTGTTTTTATCAGTTGGCTCCAGCTATCCGAGCTTCAAAAAGCAGTAGCTGGTCGTACCATTGTTGCCCGACACAAACAGTATGCGTTCTACAGGCCAAGCGCCGTCAGCCTTGCTCGTGTTATGACGGACTTTCCACTTTTGCTACTACAGGTCATCTTGTTTGGAATAATAATGTATTTCATGACAAACCTTGACCTCGAAGCTGGGAAGTTCTTTATCTATTTGTTGTTTATTTACATCACGACAATCTGCATTACAGCTATGTATCGCATGATGGCCTCGGTATCTCCGACAATTGATGATGCTGTAAGATTTTCCGGCATCGGTCTCAACCTACTTGTCATATACACCGGATATGTCATCGCAAAGCCACTCTTACTGTCGCAGAAGATATGGTTTGGATGGATTTACTATATCAACCCAGTAAGTAGACTAATGCCTCATTAAAACAACAATGTCGGGCCAAGAGTGCTAACAGTCAACAGATCAGCTATTCCTTCGAAGCCGTTCTATCAAATGAATTCTCTGGTCGACAACTCCAGTGCGATCCTTCACAGCTTATTCCCCGAGGACCACATATTTCTGCAGAAAACCAAGCATGTGCGATTGTAGGGGCCCACCCTGGCAGCAAAATTGTATCCGGAGACGACTATCTCGGCACACAGTTCGAGTATAGTCGATCGCATTTGTGGCGCAATTTTGGTGTCGTTATAGCATTCGCCGTCCTTTATCTTCTCGTGACTGTTATTGCTATGGAGAAGCTGTCTTTCGCTCGGTCGGGAGGTGGCGCTTTGGTATTCAAGCCGTCGAAGAAAATGAAGAAACACCTCAAAGCAGACGTAGAAAAAGGAGATCTAAGCGGCACATTATCACCCAACGAGATGATCGACCGGACCGCTACGCAGGACGAAGCACTCAGGGATATCACCAGAAGTGAGAGAATCTTCACTTGGGAGGATGTGTCTTATACTGTTCCCACTCCACAAGGACCGAAGCAGCTGCTCAATAACATCAATGGCTACGTTCAACCAGGTGTCATGGTAGCTCTCATGGGCGCGAGTGGTTCTGGAAAAACAACACTCTTGAACACACTTTCTCAACGGCAGACAGTTGGTGTCGTTAGTGGAGATATGCTTGTCGATGGACGAGTGCTTGGCAACGATTTCCAGCGTAGCACCGGCTTTGTCGAACAAATGGATCTCCACGATGAGACAGCCACTATCCGTGAGGCACTCGAGTTTTCCGCACTCCTCCGTCAGAGTCGTGATATCCCTCGCAAGGAAAAGTTGGATTATGTGGACAAGGTTATTGATCTTCTCGAGCTGCGGGAAGTCGAGGATGCTATAATCATGTCGTTGGGGGTCGAGCAAAAGAAGCGACTTACAATTGGTGTCGAGCTCGCAGCAAGACCCTCCCTTCTTCTCTTCCTTGATGAGCCTACCAGCGGTCTAGACTCCCAATCTGCATTCTCCATTGTTCGATTTCTCAAAAAGCTCTGCGCGGCTGGACAGGCCATCATCTGCACGATCCACCAGCCATCGTCTGAGTTGATTCAGCAGTTTGACAGAATCCTTGCACTCAACCCCGGAGGAAACGTCTTCTACTTTGGCCCAGTGGGCGAAAATGGGAGCTCAGTTATCAAGTACTTTGCTGACCGTGGTGTGGATTGTCCACCTGGGAAGAATGTTGCCGAATTCATCCTTGAGACGGCTATCAAAGGTGGTCATCGAGCTGATGGGAAAAAGCTGAATTGGAATGATGAGTGGCGCAACTCACAGGAGCACGCTGAGGTACTGCAAGAAATCAAACGCATCAAACATGAGCGCAGCCAAGTCGAAGCGCCAGCAGTTGCTTCTCAACATGAGTTTGCTGCCCCGGTTCTCGCGCAGATCACTGAGTTGACCAGGCGTATGTTCGTTCATCAGTGGAGAGATCCTTCATATATATACGGAAAGCTGTTCACAGCCGTCATCATTGGGATCTTCAACGGATTCACCTTTTGGAAACTCGGTGATACTATTGCGGACATGCAGAACCGCATGTTCACTGCGTTTTTGATCATAATCATTCCGCCAACAGTTCTCAACGCCGTCCTGCCTAAATTCTATCAAAACCGAGCACTATGGGAAGCTCGGGAATATCCTTCTCGCATCTATGGCTGGGTGGCTTTCTGTACAGCCGAAATCATCTCGGAGATTCCGGGTTCTCTTATCAGCGGCGTGATCTACTTCGTATTGTGGTATTTTCCGACGGGTCTACCATACGATGCGCCTGCCGCTGGCTACGTCTTTTTAATGACTCTTCTCTTTTTCCTTTTCCAGTCAAGTTGGGGCCAATGGATTTGCGCCTTTGCGCCGAGCTTTACTGTGATTTCAAATATCGTGCCCTTCTTTCTTGTAATGTTCTCCCTTTTCAACGGTGTCGTAGTACCTTACGCTCAACTTAACGTCTTTTGGAAGTACTGGGTAAGTCTCTAACGTCAGAATCTCCTAATTACGGGATTTAACGAACTGTCTAGGTCTACTGGATGAACCCTAGCACTTATTGGATGGGGGGTGTTTTGGCGGCTACTCTAGCAAAGCAGACAGTCACCTGCAGTAACCAAGAAGCCGCCTATTTCAATCCACCATCTGGTCAGACATGCAAGGACTTTGCTGGCGCCTTTGTCAAGCAAGTTGGTCAGGGGTATCTCACGAACCCCGATGCAACATCTAATTGTGGCTATTGTCAGTACGCCAATGGATCGGAATATCTCGCTTCCCTAAATGTTATGCCTAACCAAAAATGGCGCGACTTTGGTATCTTCCTAGTCTTTTGTTTTTCAAACTGGGCGTAAGTCTACTCTTTTTTGCCACTTATCCTCACTCAGCCTGGCGTTCGACCTCGGCAGGCCTACTTCGTGGGGAACTTTTCTTCCAAATCCTGCAAACGACACTTGATTGGAAGCTAATCTGTATGAATTCTAGGCTGATCTACATTTTCATCTACACCGTACGGGTCAAGGGGTGGAGTTTTGGCTTGGAACCCTTATTCAGAGTTCTCGGAAAGGGCGTCACAGCTATGACTAGACTATTCAAAGGGTTTGGAAGGAGAAAGAATGTACACTAGGATCTCTCGAGATAACAGGAGGTTGTTTCGTCGTGTGAGGCCACAAGATATAGACTAGAAGCTGGATAGATACTCGGATATGGAGGATTTTAGCATGAGGTGACACGCTGGCGAGGAGTTTGAAGAAAAGTGTCAACATGACTAACACAACATAAAAATGCAATTGATTTCCTTTATTATGAAGCTAGCTTCTTCATAATACTTAAGCACGCTAAAACCTTGTCTGATTAGTAAAACGTCCCTGACTTCCCTTTCTGTTGAAGAGATATTGCTCAAGTCTCTAACAACCTTATGTTGGCATACCAAGCGCGAAACAAGGGGCCAACCATTTGAGCCACTGAATGCGACAAAGTCCGAGCAACTAGATTTCCTCCAGTCATTGAAGACCATTTTCTGACATTACTGGCTCGGATTGTTCACACTTCGAGAGTTGATCCGATTGCACTGCCAGCCATCCCCTTGCGCGCACTGCCACAGGGCGGGCCGAGGCTTAGCAGCATCGGGAGGATCAATATCCCTGTCCCCCGCTCACACTTTCTCTTCAAAATTGCATGTTTCGTGCATGGGGAAGGCACAACATGCGCTTCAGCTAGGATCGTTTGCATTGAGGGTGCGGCTGCCTTAGCATGTTTCTTATCGGCGGCAATTTACTGTTCACTTCAAATGACAACTATGCCAACTCAGCCTTCAACACGGCAGCCTGGAGGTTGAAAACACTTTCGTGATTGATATATAACATTGTGACGGCTTGAAAGCTTTTGTTTCATTCTTGAACATGGCAATAAGGGCTTCTTCTGCCTAGAGCACATTCAATATGCCTCGAACAGGACTGAAGTCATCGCCAGCTTTGGCGATTGAACTCGAGAACCCGCAAAGCTCATATTTGCCAGACGATATCATACTTGGCAAAGTACTACGACGAGCACACACAGTTAGCCCAAAATGCTGGGTCAGGATTAAGCTGTTTGGCAGAGCAAAATCCAAGATGACAGTCAGCAACGGACAGAATAAGAGCGTCTACCGCGGCAGATTCACCTTGTTTGAGACTCACGAGAAGCTATTTGAAGGCCCGATCCACGTACCACCGGATGGTGAGCCCCAAGTGTGGCCTTTTGCTATTGCAGTTCCCAAAGGTCCATCGCCTCGGTTGGTCTCAAGTGGTAACGAGCAGAAGTACAGCAACCTATCGCTGAAACTGGAAGACATTGAAAAACAATCTCTGCCCCCCGCATTCTATTACGCTGGAGATTCGTGGGGCAAGAAGTTCCACGGCTACGTTGAGTACTATCTCGAAGCAGAGATTCGCCTCTCCGGGTCCGGGAGTCCTGCGGGCACGGCGACCCTTCCAATCTTTGTTCGTCCTCCTTCATCTCCGATTCCCATCACCGACTTCGACCTGAAAGGGCGTTCTTTTGGTGGCCTCATCAAAAGCCAGCGTCTTGTTCCTGGCATGGAAACCACGGAGCTATCGTTCAAGCAGAAAACACAGAAGTTTTTTGGTTCTTCTAAGGTCCCCGAATTCATCTACTCGCTTGAGATCGACTATCCTACCGTAATCCAGCTGGGAAACCCAAACACGATCCCTTTCAAGATCCGTCTGTTGCCCAACCGGTCGCGCACATCCGACATCATTGAGGATGTGCCGCAGAAGGTTACGCTTACGAAGCTAACCATGGAGCTCAAAGCAAACACGGCCGTGCGATGTGCTGGGACATTTAGTTCACACGATGCCGACAAGACAGCCAAGCATCCCATTCATCTAGCACAAGTAATGGTGGGGGTCGGCTCGATTGTGGTGCCATCAAGCGTTGACGAAGAGGCTATCGATCTTGGTGCTCTGCTGGACCTACGACTCGATGCAAGGCGTCCTTATACCATGGGAAGGCAGCTTTCACCCTTTCAAAATCGTCTGGCACCCAGTTTTACAACATACAACATCAGACACAGTTACCGGCTGAAGTGGGAGGTCACCATTTCCATAGCTGGGGAGTCAACGTCTCTGTCAGGGGAATACCCGGTCTCTATCCTTGCTCCGAGTGAGGAGCAGGAGATCGAGGCACATAACGCCTTAACACCAGAAGAGAAGCGCAAGAAGTTTGAGGAAGTTTTGGAGGCAGCGAACCTAGGTGTGGCGGGAGCGAGCGCGATCCTCGATATTATACAGGCTGCGAGCGGATAGGATGTCTCATTGGTCGAGCAGAATTGAGGTTGACCGTCACGGAGAGTATACAAGATTGGTTTTTTATCCCCCCCTCTTTCGCAAGTAATGAATAGCAAGATACCCCACCGTTGCCCACAAGGATGTTTCTTAGATCGGTGAAGACAGAATTTCATTTTTGAACTTTCAAGCAACCTATGTGACACATTTGTTTCTGCAAATTCTGAAGTCTCCAAGCAACCCACGGTATTCCCAATCCTCCTCCAATCCAATGGCCCCAAGCTTTCGGTCTAAACTTCTCTCCTCCCCAGTTCCAAACAACCCAGCCATCAATCACTGCCGCAATGGTCATTGTGCCCACCCATATATTGACAGCATCCTCATTGCCCGTGGCTTGGAAGGCAACGAGACACGCACCAAACACAATGTCACGGGCAGCTTTAACGTAGACAAATGGAGACACTACGTCGCCGCTATTGTTCGCAGCTGGGTGACTCTTGTCCGCCGATACCGAAGGAGGGGCTCGAGAAGATATGCTGCTGGTGGTTGGAATGCCAAAGATCTCGTAATATTCCCGAGGTTGACGGAGTGTGGTCAGTCCAAGGCCCACCAGGCTGGTCCCGATGAAATATGCGGGGAGAGTATACAGGGGTGGTAAAGTGAAGGACATGGCGGTTCAATGTAAAGTGATCATACGCTTGAAGGGTCGGTGGTACTGTGATGCACACGCCTAAAGTTGTTCATGTTGTTCAATGGTCTATGACGTACCTGTTTGAGGCTGCACAACGTCATTAGATTTTCGGTCAGTCGCAACCCACCACCTAATTGGAATAAGCTAATTGTTGCCTCATTCAGGGGATTACGACCAGTCCACGCCCTGTATTGTCAACAATGACTAGAATGCTAAGTCTAATGAGAGCGGCAGCCTTGCGTGGGATCATGGCGGGTCATGATCCATCAAAGTCATTCAATAACTGAAGACTCGACTAATCGGCATAGGGTATTATCTGGCTAATTTTCTGACTGCGAAGGAAGTTCAGCCGCCAAGGTTTTCCAGGGGCGTTTTCCTGTCGGTTCAAGGGGTCATTTATGAGCTCTGACCTAATGGCCTTGCGGTGAAACTCAGAACCATCCCCAAATCCTCAGGATTGGTGTCGTTAATGCATCATCATCACGCCTCTTGGCTTGTTAAAGCACTCCAATTCAATTCATAGTGACAGAAGGAGCCAGGAAGACGCCTCGACTATTAGTTCCAAACGAGGAAAGTTCAACTAAATGTCGAAATACTGCTGTTTGAACAATGCCTCTGTTGGGATTCTAGTAATTAAAGTTCAGTGGCTAAAGTTCAAATGCGTCGCAATCCCGTTCGGGATAGGATACAAGCTGGAGGCAAGGCTGTGGGTAGGCTGCCACAAAAGGTCCCTCCCGTCATCCCAACTTCTTCGCGATGATGAAGAGCTCTGGTTCTTCGTCTGTATCTGACTCTTTAGGGGGAACGAACAACTCCCCCTGAGTATGCACGATCTCTAATCCTGCATCTGCCAATGTCTTCTTCCATCCATTTCGTGTGAACAGAACTGAGATTGTGACATCTTCGCCCAGGAATCTCCAAGGAATCTTCCGCGCACACAACCCATCCTCTCCGAATCCGCCGTTCATCTTCTCCTTCGGTATATCCTCTGCGGCGATGGTGGCAACACAGAGCAATCCGCCGGGCCTGAGCCATGACACCTGGCGTTGCACCAGCGCCTCAATCTCCTCGCGGTCCAAGACGAAAAGAGACAATATATTCAACACGGCGTGGAACTGCATTCCGTCGGGTGGTTCATAGTGTCGCATATCAGCAAGCTCGAAGGAACCATCCGGGACGGTTTTGCTAATGAGGTTAATCATCTCAGGTGAGAAATCGACGCCAGTGACATGATGCCCCGCTTGTGCAAGAGTGACAGCTACGGGTCTGCCTGTGCCACAGCCTACGTCCAGGACTGCGGACGTTTCTGGGAGGTGAGTGAGGATGGTCTGGAGGAACTTGCTTAGAGCGGGGTTCTGTGAGAAAGCCTTTTCGTATCGGGCCGCCAGGGACGAATAATGCTCGGGGTTCTGTTCTTGCATTTTATCGGCGAAAGACGGAGGAAATTTTGCGATTTTAATAGGTATCGCTCGCGTTGATATGATAGGTAGCTTGATAAATCACATCATGTTACGGTGCAGGCGTTTCTTAAGGTTGTGATAAGCTTCTCAACAGCCCCACCGGTCCGAGTGGTCGGGTGTTGATGACGTGAGTGCTGCGAGCGTTCCTTCCGCAGTGTAACAGGTGAAGATAGGAAAGAGCGAATGACTGTCCGTTTGACTAAGCAACTTATCACATAGTCTCGCAATTATTCACATTGCCCCCTTTTTCTGCGCCGACCTTCCCGCTCGTAGAGTAGCTTTTGTGTCTCTTCTTCATCGTCATAACTGTACTCAACCGTCGGCTTTGGGTCTGGCGCCATTGGGATGTATCTTGATGAGGTCGGATAAGATGGGAGTTCGTTTGGAAAGGCTGTCCAGTTTTGGATCTCGCCTCGGCCGCCACCTCTTCGCCAAGTTTCATCCCAGTTCCAAGAGTCGGAGTCCTTCTTGGGCCTCGTTTCGGCTGAAGGATTTCGCCACCAATACTTGAAATCATACCATTCCAAGACTATACGTGCCATGATGTGTTTAGGCCAGCTCAAGTTGTTGTCCTCGATGTTCTTCTCTAGGAGAGCAATCATCTCTGGGCCCTCGTCATCCACCGCCCCATCCGCAATGTAAATCCTCCTTCTATTACTACTGTTCTTTTTCTCTTCTAAAGCCCGCTCGGAAACCACCCCAAAGAGTAGTTGCCTTAACGTGTATCCTACGGCAGCCGTTCCAGCTGCAACCCACGGTACCCATTGGAAAGGTACGTGGAAAGGGTGCTCCTGGGGAACCCATCCAGCAATGCTGATTTCAGATTTGGCAGTAATGAAAACACAGAAGCCTGGGAAGAAACCAATGAATATGTGGGACCAAAGATACCACACAACGGCAACGCGTTTGGCCAATTTCTGTCTCCGCGGGCACGGGTTGTACTCGAGTACACACAGTTCTTTGAACGAGATCGGATCCTCGTCCATGTAGATCCTGTAGATGCGTTTGCCTCCCCATACAATAAGTCTTCCAACTTGCTGTAAGATGCGGATGTCCATAGATGCCATACCCAAGAAGATCCATACATATCTTGTCCATATCAGCAGCTGAAGGAACAGCCGATTTCTTCTAGATCCGCCTTGCAGTCTCGGACGATAGTCCTGCTGCAGGCGACGGAAGATTTTATTTCGGATTTCCTTGGGTGATCCTTTGGAGATTGTTTGCACACATTGGTATGCTGGACCAACTAAAAGGTAAGCACACCATAGATAGTGGATCAATTCTTTGTATGTTGTATTGTTGACTTTGGTTGCGTTCACAAACCACTGGCCGGCAGCACCCCAATTCACTGCCTGAGATGCAGCATCATCATCCATTGACCAGATGACAGGAAGCAACCGCTCTTTAGAGCCGCGATAAACCGTCGAAGTTAAGACCATGTCTTCACACGGATTTGTACATGTACCCGTCGAGGCGTTGCAGGCGGCAGAGACTAACGAGGAGGTGCCAATGTTCGAGGCACGGCCAGCAAGCGAGACATACTGTACGATCATGCGCGGAACAAAGATCACATAAACACAGGTCGCGTAAAAAGGTCGCAGCTCAAGGTTCTTGGGCGGCCGCCTTAGCGATGCGGACAGCAAACACAGCATGAGGACGTACACGCCATGCTGCAGAGCCAGTGGCATGGAGAGTACATCGCCGTCGTGCCACGGGGTGGTTATCCAGCCAAAAGGAAGCGCTATCGCGAAGGTGGTCGTCATGTACATGAGGCCGCAGCCCGTAGCGAAGGCCAAAGGCCCGACCCTGCGCACCGCCAACATGACAGGGAGCATAAGCACGCAGAAGAGCAAGCGAAACGATTGGGTGTGCATAAAAGTGATTGGCCAGACGCACCACACCTGGGGCGGCGCCGACATGTTGTCGCCATCCCGGAGCCCGATCGTTGAGTTCATCGCCGTTGGATTGGCCGCCTGACCGGCGTTGCTGAGGTCTGGTTTCACCGGAGACTGTGCGCGAGGTCTCCCGAGCCAAGCCGGTAGATTGGCAGACGACGCATCATTTTAAATTCCTCAGGGACCGGCATTAGAAAGCCGTTGGTCGGCTGTGGCGGCGATGGCTGAGTCGGGTATACCCACTCTGGATCCACTAGGCAGATTCAGCTGGAAGATTTCCGAGATCCACTTGATCTTGGCACCATGGGAGTCATGAACTTCCAAAAGGCATGGAATTTTGCTTTTCAGGAACTGAGAAGAGAAGATAGACTCCCATTGAGTCAAATAGGCGGAGTATACTTGTGAGGGGCTTCTAAGATCCGGGGTCGACCTTAATCCGACATCCCTACAACGCCAAAACGATACTAGTAGTATGATGTATTGTTAAAAGACTCGGCTAGATTCTGCAATTTAATAATGCTATCGGGAATTACTTGTTGTACTGTAGCTGCAAGGACAATCAGAATTATATCAAGAAACAAGTGTCGGGGCTGCGTTGTAGTTGCGGTACCATTCTTCCCGAAGGAGATAGAATGAGTCATCTGTTGGAGTGAAGTTGATCCTAAAGCTAGTATTCATCTAGTGTCAATGTGAGTCTCTGAGCAGGGTGATAGTTCTCGGTTGAAAAATTCTAGTTCGCGTCTCTCTATTGGGCATGTATATATCTCAATGATAGCTACTTCCTTCGCTACCATAGCTAGGGTGACCTCGTCCCTTTCTTTCCATGACAGCCAGGCCCTCCCCTTTTTGGGATTTGAGAACAGTCATACCCATGAGCTTCTCGTAAAAAGGCACAGAGCGATCCCAACTACCTGTGAACAGCATGCTCCTTCTCAGGTGCGGCATGACCTCTATAATCTCCTGTACACACTTCACCAGCCAACTTCCAAGACCAGCTCCTTGGAGCGATGGATCAACCCACACATCCGTGACATACACAAATGTTGTGAAATCAGTGACACAACGGGCGAATCCAATGAGTTGGCGATCATCCAACGCCAAGCTCCCATCAACTGACGCATCGGGTGAGTCTAGCTGGTACAGGCCAAAACAGAGTGACTTATCGAGCATCTCTTGCATGGCTTGCGCTGGCATGGCATTCGCCCAGTAGAAATCATCAGAGTCAAATATGTTGATGAGTTTTGATATGGGGACCAAGGCGGGATCAGTCGAGATGAAGTATTGCTCCCTCCTCCAAGTCCGCCCCCGCATTTGTGATTTAAATGATTCCATTTTGAATTAAATTGGACGAGTTGCTACTACCAGGGGTAAACAAAAGAGAACGTATATATGTGGTCGGGCAAAGGTCTGAGAGAGTGAATGTCCCTTCCCAATTTGTAGGTTCAGAGTTGAGTCATCAGGGGTAAGAGGGGTGATGCGCCACAAAATTTCCAAGACGGCCACACGGCCTGACGTAGTAATTGTTAGCAGGAGTACGGGGACCAGACGCGCTGCCGATAACACGACATTGCGAGAACACACGCGTTTCTTTTCCCAGCAACAGACACTGATCAACAGATCATATTTGGTGAGGCAGCTTCCTAGTGTCACCGAACTACAGACAAGACTTGGACAACTTAATACGATACAACCAATTCATTCATTCCAGGCGCACCCGGCTCAAATCATGTCAATGTCAACACCAATGGCGATGCCGCCCGCTAAACGTCAGCGGGTGGACACTGGTGGTGGGGATGCGCCGCCAGTGCAACCACAACCACAACCACATCCAGGCTATCAATATCAATATCAATATCCATATCCATATCCACATCCGCATATACAGATACAGATGCAGATGCCGCCTATGCAGGTGGTACCGGGCATGCCTCCCAATGCTTTACCGCCGATAAATTTCCCTCCCATGGACAGTCGTCTGCAATCGATCATTTCAGCTCTCGCTCAGCCCATGATACAGTCACAAGTCGAGAAAATACCGTTTGAGACGCTCCAGAAAATTGTTGTCGAGACGGCAGCAGCAGATCCAAAGGGAATTCTTGCTAGAGCCATAAAGCAAACACATGCCGAGATCATCGAACGCCAGCGCACCCGCGTCTTAAACTTTGACGGTTACAGCAAGGAGGCTTGGTATCAGCTAAATCAGAAATATGACCACCTCAGTGGCAGTAAGCAGTACGACGCGTCCTCTAGCGTGGAAAGTACCATTGGGGAGATGCTGGACAGTATCCTGGATCGTACAGATGAGAACTCATCCTATGGCACTAAGAAGAGCGCCATTGAGACCATGCGCAAGATCCTCAAAAGCGTGCTTTTGGCCGAAGATGTCATCGGGCGTGAAGTCCGAAATTCGTGTTATGGCTGGGATGCCAAGTTTGTCGAAGTCATCGAGGCATTCGACAGCAACGAGCTTGAAAGGCTCGTCACTGAGGATGATGGGCAGTGGCTGGAGAAGGTGCGCGAGCTGGTAAAACTGGCAAATGATTATTGCATCCTTGGAAAACTCAAAGATGGCTTAGCTATTCTTGAGGGAGAGTACGAAGAAGATGAGGATGAGGACGAAAGTGAAGACGACGAGCATGCCGATGAAGGAGAAGGGGATGAAAGACCCGGAGATGGTCACGCTGAGCACGGCGAAAAGGGGCTGTAAACCCCATATGAGGCGTCAGGCTAACAGTATGTTATCGGCAAGGAGTTATCTCAATCCCATGGAGGTACACTTTGAGACTCTTGCCACACTCCCGCCCATCTGAAGCAGAATGTCTCACTACACTGTTATGAGTGGTGATACACGCACTGGAGTTCACCAAGCCGGCGAAACTGGAGGACAAAGTGCAGATATTCAAGGCAGCGTGACAAAATCACCTTAGCCACACGGCAATGCCTGTCAAACTTTTACATTATGTATGAATCCTGGCGAACTTTTACATTTGAGCCACAGCATGGTTTTCTGCCTTTAGATTTAATATTCAGCCGGGGTTCAGGATCTATGCTTGAACGTAGTATAAGCAACATTGATTACACTTAGTCTCTCCTGAATGCCTTGATTGTCCTCCCGTAGTACCTCTTTTACCAAGGAAATGAGTTAGGGAAAGCAACCTTTTATTTCCAGATAGTACTTCGCTCACAACATCCCTTCGTAACTCTCGTGCATCAAAATGTCAGCTGAACATTTTTGAATGGTATCAGCGCCAGTATTACAGCTTGGGAATAGAAGCCTTGGCGATCGACCACATCGTCTGTCAGAATGCCCACCGAACCACTCTTTTGTTTGGAGTTTGTCCGGCCGTGCACCAAGTCATCAGCATGGCCTAATTCCATGCCGGAGCGTAGCAGCTTGGCAGTCTCCTCCGGTAGATAATACGTCGAGGTGCGCGCTTTGCCCACTCGCTCACCACTCCCGTCTTTGCCGTTACCGACCACTGCAATCCACGCGAATGACTGGATCGGCCCATCCGCTTTGCCGGCATTGTCGACTCCTCCTTCCAGCCCAATCCAGTAGTCCGCGTTGGGCTCGGCGTCGCGTGCATTCCGTGCCCGATTCAGCGCTCCTTGAAGGGTCTCCTCGTCTGTGAATGGTTGGTCGGGTACACCAGATGGGACACTGATAGCTTGCACATCAAACGTCAAGGTGGGGAACATGCGCGAGAAACCGTCATGCGCCGCCCCAATTTTCACTGGGTTATTGGATGCGACGATTACTACTACTCTGGCAGATGCTGTTGCCATCTCGATATGAGAGTGTATTGTGTATGGGCAGAGCCTGTCAAGGAGTTGCTAGCTTTGGGCATGCAGGCGGGTGTGGGCAGCAATTGTGGGTGAAGCGGTGAACAGTAATTTTTGGGTTAGCTGGTTGGATAGCGCGGCTTTGCTGATGACGGAATTTAAGGCTGAGAATCGACAGCGCTGCATCGCCACTACTTCCCGAATATGACTCGTAGATGCGAACGGACTCGCGTCATGCCTGGGAAGTAACTGGCATCGAAGCTTTATTGTTCTTACTACATGATTCATATCAAAGCAAAAATGGTAGACCTAACGAAGATAGGCTTTGTTTTTCCACACATACCAAATGTTCAGTTCTCCTCCAAGTATCAGCTTTAACGGGGTATCTAGCCACGTCTGGCTTGGCACGCCGTCGGCCCTGTACGTCCAAAGGACCAATACAGAAATGTGTGACTGTCAGCTAGGTTTTAGATTCGAATTATAACATTTATCTTTCACTCTTTCGGGTGCAAGTCGACCGCCCAAAGGTGCCTGGACCTTTCCAAGTTACCCAGTCATCAGTTGTCCATGAGAAGAATTCCAATGCATCTGGGCGAAGGGCCGAGAGGAGCCTGCATGTTTGGATATTCCTACCGTCACTGACCCTTAAACTCGGGTGACCTGAAATTTGTCATTATAAGCTTAGCCTACAGTTATTGAATTTCCTTAAATACTCCAGGCATTACCCTGGGCTCGGTCAGACTCGCGGAGCACTCCTTACAGTACCCCCAGTACGCCATTTCAGGCTGTGACGTGAATGGGCGAAATGTTTGACGACGCCGACGAAGCATCCTACGTTGAAGCTATTCCCATTCACCTCTTTCAAGATACCTCTGAAGTCGAGCAATACCCGGCTCCTTGTCAACATTCAACATATATCATAATTACGCCAGACCTCAATGAGCGCTCTGACGTGCAATCCTCTCTTGTCATTTACTCACGCTCGCGAACCTTCTTCGGAGGTGCCCAACACTTTCACCACACCATCCCCTAACTCAGCCTAAGACTGGTCCCCGACAAGATTCTTATTCGGAGAGCATGAGTGGCAGTATTAGGTACAACCCAGCGAATGGTGGAGTCGAGTGGCTCTCGTCAGCTATGAGTATGGCAGGTGCGCAAAGTTCTTGAAGCTCACTCAGCCACATTTTATGACTGTGGACTAAAGGCGAAGCCGACTTTTCTCTTTACAATTAAACACAAAGCAGCGAATCCAAAGGGGACGGCGTGGTAGCTCATCGTTGTTTTTCGGGATTGTGATACACATGCTCGGTAGCACAACACCGCCACTAGTTGTGGCACAGCTCTACAAATCTGTAGTGAGTGCATAACATGAATGTCAAATGCCTTGTGGAGCTGAAGCAATCAATTCCTGTGATGGCCTTGAACGAGAAGTCCTTCTTAGCCTAGCCGCCGTCTGACATGCACGACCAGGCAAGTTTGTCCTCACGCATCATTGGAGTGTTCTTCACTAACCCTCTGCTGCAAGTAGCCACCGGGGCCACTGGGGCCACTGGGGGCTGCATGCCAGAGCGAACGGACAGCCAAGCACGCGCGTTTGGTCTAGATGTTCGTATTTTCCTTGCTTTTGAGGGGGGCTAAGATGATTGGTCCTGTTCGGCAGTGAAACACAGCCACCCCCCAAAATGGAGGACCCCTGTTTTGCTATGTTTCTTGGGCGTGGACTAACGTATGGCCGGCCCCGGATCAGCGTAGCTAATTTCAGAGTGGGGCATTCCTGAGCTGCAGGTCCAGCCCATTCACCCAATCAGCTTCCCCCGCTGATTCTCTCCTTTTGATGGCATCCCGCGTTGGCGCGCCTCTTTATTCCTCCTCCTTCTTTCTACTCTACCTACTCTCCTATCCTCTCTATTTCCTCCCACGACCACCTTTGCATCTTTAACTTTTAGTTAGATGCTGACATTCCTTTGAGAACACCTTTTCTCGTCCATCATTCGGCCGTCCGCCAATCAACTGTCTTTTCCCATTGTCTCTTTTCTTGTTGTGTCTTTTCCCCGTACGTCATTTGCAGCCGACCACCTCATCCCTTGATACCAAGTTTGTACCTTTAACAACCATACAACCCTCGAGCGAATCTATCGATACCCCAATTCATTTCATCTCGACTGCTCGCACTCCTAGCCAAGATGCGCACTTCTCCTCTGCTCGCCGCAGGCCTCGCTGCCGGCGTTTCGGCTGCCACAAACTACCTCGGCTTCAACTCCGGCTCAACACTCGCAGATCGGTCTGCTAAGTTCAAGAAGGACTTCTTGGCTGAGTTCAAGACGGCACAGGCCCTCGAGGGCGCCCCAGGCACTTTCAATGCCGTTCGACTGTACACAAACATCCAGGCTTACTCGGAGAGCGATCCGATTGAGGCGTTTGAGGCTGCCATCGAGACCAAGACTTCGATCCTGCTTGGCGTCTGGGCATCCGGCACCGATAACATCGATAAGGAGATCACTGCCCTGAAGGCGGCTGTCGACAACCTGGGCGATGACTTCACCGATCTTGTCATCGGAATCTCCATTGGTAGCGAGGATCTGTACCGTAACTCAGCCACCGGTGTTGCCAACGAGGCCGGCATTGGCGCCGACCCGGATGTGATTGTTGGATTCATCACCGACTTCAAGAAGGCATTTGCCGACACCAAGCTTTCCAGCGTACCTATCGGTCACGTCGACACTTGGGACGTCTGGCCCAACGCCACCAACAAGGCCGTTCTCGATGCCATTGACTGGGTCGGTGTTGACGAGTATCCCTACTATGAGAACGACAAGGGCAACGACATCAAGAACGCCGGCAGCCTCTTCGATGCTGCCTACGCGGCCACCCTAGCTGCTGTCGGCGACAAGCCCGTCTGGGTCACCGAGACCGGCTGGCCTTACACTGGCCCTGATTGGGATGAGGCTGTTGCCAGCGTCGACAACTCCAAGTACTACTGGGACGAGGTCGGCTGCCGCAAGCTGTTCAACAAGGTGCCCACCTTCTGGTACAACCTGCGCGACTCCAACCCCGACAACACCATGAAGTTCGCCATCACAAACAACCTGTCCACCAGCCCGCGCTTCAACCTGACCTGCCCCACCACCTTCGACACGCCCACCACGACCTCGTCTCTGCCTTCCAGCACCGGCACTGCCACTGGCAGCGGCTCATCTGCTACCAGCTCTCCGTCTGGGACCTCGGGCTCGGGCTCGGGCTCGGGCTCGGGCTCCGGCAGCTCCACGACCACCGGCTCTGGCAGCTCTGCGTCGGGCACCAGCTCGGCCGCCAGCCCCGACTCGACCAACGCTGCTGGCCCCGCCGCCGGCGTCTCTGGCGCTGCCTACGCTGGCCTGGCACTCGTCGCTGGCTTCTTCGCCCTGTTCTAAGCAGGTCGTTTTGTTGTTGTAATCGACGTGGCAGGCAAATCAAATCAGCATGTATCAAACCTCTTGAGGACTCGGGGATTTTGTTTTCTGGTATCGCGTACATAGACTCAGGATAGACTAAAGGGAAATTTTACATTGACAATTCAAGCCTTGCACCCGTTTATTTTCATTTATCTTTTGCGAAGTCATGTTGTGATGTTGAAGCTTGCTGAGAGCTCCTCTGTTGCGGTTTAAGATGACTAAGACACGACTTGCAGCTCGCGTACACATGTGAAAACGAGAGACAGTTTCCTATGGAAGAACTTTATTAGGAACAACTTAATCCTCGGATGTAGCAGCTCGCGCCCCATACAGCAATAGGTTGCAATTCGCACCTGCAGGTGCCTTGTGATACGGTGTCCGAGTAGGTTTTTATTGGGACACGTACACTCGCCCAATGGTGCGAGGGGCTCAGAGAACCTGTAGATTCCAGCAAATTTCAAGCCATCCTTCAATCTTCAATGCACTAAGCTTTTGTAGGACCGTTGAAGGTCTTGAGCCGCATCGTCTGGTTGTGGGCGGTATTCGTTATCAGCCCTTGGTTATGCAGCTAAAGGAAATGACAAGGCTCTGCGAGTCGACGCAATAATCCGTGAGTCTTATTTAGATCGTCTTATCAAGAGGCAGAAGTCACCCACGGAGGAGTTTGAGGTAAGCAACGCACCTTCCTTCGGGCACAAATTTGATTCGAGCAAAGAGCCGAGCAGACATGGTCTAAAGAGGCGATACATGGGGGCAGGCGCGGAGACCTGCACTCCATGATACATGCCTCACCTAACCCTGTTCGTCGCTCTCACTGTAGCAGCGTAATAGACCCGAACATTCTGCGGAACAGACGGTGAATCACCGCCTACTAAATCACTGGCCGGATTGCCGAGGATCGTATTGACCAAGACGAACGTCGGCTTAATAGACTGATTGATGATACTTAATAATAATAAACATAGGTTTATCTCTGGGGCTTTAGTAATTTATGAAATGGATGTAAAACTGAAGATCTAGGGAATATTCATTTGAGATAAAAACCGGTAGTGCTCGTTCAGCCACTCCTTCAAGGCCTTAAGGTAAGTAACTGAGAAGGCCTGGATGCCACAGTAAAAGCGATGATAGGTGCGCTGGAAACGTGACGAGTCATGGGAAGGCGAAAAGAAATGGTACATAAGGTATCTTGGCACACTTGAGGGGTACCACTTGGGCTAACACAGCCGCTTAAGTTACCGAGGCAAGTTCGTGGAGAGCAGCTGTAATATTCTATACCCAAACCTAAGTTTCACTCCCGGTAATTAAGTAGATCGAGAAAGAAATGGTCGGATTTGATTTAGATAGTGACTTTCCGAAGATATGCTACGGCTTTGTTACAATCTCCTTTTCGTACCGTAGTAGTTGATTAGTGCACCGGCAAGGAACGAACACGGATCTCACGGAGCTCGATTGATAGAAATTGACATATTCTGCTTATTATACAACATGACATACCCCGGTTGCCCAACAGTATTCTTCTCCTTCCACGGAGGAGGTTCGAAGCTATAGATCTTAGGACTTGGTCGCACACCCCAACTTACTTCAAGAAGTACTCTCCACAGACCTGCAAAATATTAATCATCAGTGTTTCTCGCAGGATATAAAGAGGCCACGCTCAAAACGCCAAGGCTCCGAAGAACTATCAGCACAAGGCAACAATGCGGTACGGAAAAGTTGCAGTCTTCACTGGACCAGGGGAGCCTATAAGGACCGTCGAAGAAGAAATTCTCCAACCAGGGTCTGATGAGATCTTGGTGCGTGTGTCGATAGCTGGGATCTGCGGCAGCGATGTGCATAGATTGAAGGGCGATATCCCGGCTAAGTCGCATGGCGTTTGCTTCGGGCATGAAGCAGTTGGTGTTATCGAGGACTTGGGAGCGGAAATCAAGACCGACAGCGTGGGCACGACATTGGCCAAAGGCGATACGCTGTATTGGATGCCATTGACTCCTTGTGGCACTTGCTGGGAATGCAGGGCTTCGAACATACTACGATGTAAAGATATCAACTGGCCGCCGCCTGCCGGAAAGCCGAACGGAGCGGGTTTCAGGCAATACGCAACACTGAACAAGAAAAGTGTCTATATCCGGGTACCCCCGGGAGTCGCTCCTGAGAATGTCATTACATTTGGGTGCGGAATGCCAACCGCCTTGAGGGGTCTAAAGCAGCTAGGCACTATTGGCCCTGATGACGACGTTGTCATACAAGGCTCCGGACCGGTTGGCCTAGCATGCACACTCATGGCAAGCCTCGCTGGTGCTCGTTCTGTTATTACGATTGGAGATCCCGACCATCGCCTCGAAGTGGCAGCTTCACTCGGAGCGACTTGCACCATGTCCGTCGCCAAGACCACGCCTGAAGCAAGGTCCGCACGGGTGAAAGCCCTCACGGAAGGCCGTGGGGCGAGCATTGTCGTGGAGGCAGCCGGAACAGCAGTCGCGTTTCCCGAGGGCTTTGATCTTCTTCGAACAAATGGAAAGTATTTGATCCTGGGTCTATATTCTGGAAAGATTTCAGTGCCAATTGATCCGGTCCGTATCAACAATCTCAATCTACAAATCATCGGCAGTTTGGGCCTCGACATCGACAGTTACAAGCGAACGGTAGACATCGCATCGGATCATGGTGCACGGCTGCAATTCGCAAACCTGATCACACACCGCTTTCCGCTAGATCGTCTAGAGGAAGCCCTTAACTTGGTAGGGCAAGGAGTTCCTATCAAAGCTGTGATAGTACCAAATTGAATATAAAATCCTTGCTTATAATACAAGAGTAATGGAAGGTGCAGAGTGCTGTCCTTCCGTTGGCCCGGGCTCTTGCAGGCCAGAACCAAAGACATATTATCAAAAAGATCGGACTGAAATAATTTTTTACAGCTCTTTAACCTCCGCTACGATAGACTAACTCCTGGAAGCTAGTCTAAGATGAACTGCCCCGAGAATCGGGTGGTGAGGAAATGGCAACGTTCTCTTCCCACTTCAAAGCTCTAAACTTTCAACAAGTCGCTACGCCCCATCCCTTAGCTCTTTACATTATAGCCTTCATCGTCATCATTCTAGAGTACATCTCAAAATATGGGAACATTTACTGTACACGGCCCAGTCCGGTCACTCCGCGCTAGACCAGATTGGTTTCTTAGCAGACCCGGTTTTCTTCGAGCACTTTTGCCTTCAACTTTCGCATGCTTATCTTATCTTCTCATTGAAAATACTGTAGCATTTGATAAACCTTATCGTCAACCCACTTGGGGCTTTGTCTCTCCTACCTTATCTCAAACGTTTTGCCAACGACCAGCACCGCAGTAAGCAAGCATGAGTTTCAATTGAGGTGTTTGGCAAATGTTGCACGCCTGAGAACCCATTTCAATCCTACGATGTTGGTCACCATTGAATAATAAGCACGGTCCCAGACATACCCATACTGGCTACCGCCACGCCTTATGCCTAGTATCCGATCTCGCCAAGGATGTGAAGAGTGTCGAAGGCGGAGGAGGAAGTGCGATGAGCAGAAGCCGCGCTGTAGGCAGTGTTCTGCCTTCAACAGGGCGTGTAGCTACCCCCTAAGACTTGTATAGGGCGGTGGCCGCAAGTATAAGAGGGTGTCTCTCAGTGAAGGCTTCCCTCATACAAGCCACCGCGGTGACACGACAGGTACAGTACTTTTAACGTATCTCTCGCATTTATAAGCGTAATTGACCTTTATAAGAGTCTTATGGAAGCGTTTTGTCCCAGCATAACAGCACGCCACCAACAGAACGTATTGAACTGCCAGTAGACCTCCCCTAATGCCTTCCAAATGGTATACAGCTACCACCAAGATATCAAAGGTTGCTAAGTCACTTCATAGAAGATATCATTACTTCTCTATCATATCACCCTTCAATATACAAAGACTTATGCCAAGGTCTAGTCTCTATAACTTTAGAATCGCCTCAGTTAATGTCTACTTACCTTACATTGTCAGTTGCTAGGTTTCTATCATATAAAGTTCTTTTTATTGATAGAATTAAAGTCGTAAGAATATTAAGTTATTTATACTTATCAGATCTTATATTATTGAGAAATTCGTAAGAGATTAGCTAGATAGATAAGATATTACTAATGATTTGTTTTATTTAGTGTCTGATAGACGTCTTTATCTATCGTTATAGTATATCATCCTAGTATATTTATTTATAGAAGATTTAGAGAATATAATTATAGCTTTTTATAAAGGAAGAAAAAAAGGCCGAAATCTTAACACTTGGATATCAATTCGCATATCAAGAAAATTGTCCTTTTAATGCCAGAAGCAGAATCAGTGGGTCGATATCAACCTAGAGACGAACCAACATCAAGCTATATATAGTATGCAGATGGTAGAAGGATAGAAGATGAAAATAGTCTAGCCTAGTTATAATATACGATGATATTAAACCTTTTGGCATTCGTAGACCCATTCTTTATCATGCCATAGGTAGACAGTGTCGGATTTACCTAGACCTTTTCCGGTCATACCATCATCACTATCTTCTTCTATATTCCGATATTAGCAATGATCTACGGGTTTAGGGAGGCAATACGTGAGAAGGCGGGAACCCCAAGTTGGGTAAACCCGGAGTTTGAACACACTGGATAGATTTATATTGGATAACTTGATGCCTAAGCTACAGGTGGTACAGATTCGTCAGTCCTTGCCTCTTCCTATTGGAAAAAAGAATTCTTATTAGAATCTCGTAGACAACACTGTTTGTCCCAGCTTTAGATGTTGGGGCCTGGATACCCGGGGTTCGTGAAACTTGAGATACTGCATACCTACTGTTATATCTCGCCCAGCATCTGTACCCTGCTTGGAAAGCGAGTAACTTATAAGTTCACCTTGCTATTGTCTTTATCATCCCCGTATCTCCATTCATTGTCTCTTAATGAAAGGTCGATTAGGCTACGAGCCTGTTGCAATTG